ACCAGAGAACAAAGCAAAACAAAACCAAAAGCTGCAGAGTCATGGCTGTTGAAGAACCCCCAAAATGAATGTAGTCACTCCTGTTGTGCTGAAGTCTCACTTTGATGCCGTCCTTAGGGATCCTTGTCCCCAGGATCTGCCCAGGAGGCAGCTTAGCCAGTGGTTATGAATTTGGGCTTTGGAGTCAGATTTTGGCTCTGCTACTTAGTGGTCATGTGCTTGGGCAAGTTACCTGAGCCTCCCAGCCTTTACTGGCTCATCTGTAGAGTAGGGTCTGAAGTCACAAAGACTCTCACCTATGTTTCCTTCTTAGAGTTTTATAGTTTGAATTCTTACATTTAGTATTTGATCCATTTTGGGTTGATTTTCATATACAGTATGAGGTAGGAGTCCAACTTCACTCTTCTGCATGTGGATACCCAGCTATTCCAGCATCATTCGCTGAAATGGAGTATGCAGTTTCTTTTGGGGATGATGAAATTTTCTAACATTAGAAAGGAAATAGTTTTTCCTTCATTGAATAGTCTTGGCAACCTTGTCAAAAATGACCATAAGTGCACAGGTTTATTTCTGAACTCTCGATTCCCTATTTTTCCAGTTTTAATGAGATTGGCATACTGAACTCTCATTTCTGATCCATTGATCCACATATCTATCCTTACACTGGCTTGACTAGTGTTCCTTTGTAGTAAATTTTTAAACTGAGAAGTCCTCCAACTTTGTTCCTCTTTTCAAGGCTGTTTTGGCTATTTTGGGTTCCTTGAGCTTTTCTTCTTTTTTTTTAAGTAATAGTTGTTACTTAAGCACAAAGTTGAGAGGGTTACAAGTAAAATGAAGCAGATGAAGCTCTTAGACTAGAGTACAAAAAGGTTCCGTGACTGGTAGTTGATGGTAAAATAAAGTGCTTTCCATACGCTGCTACTTCATTCTCCTGAGAGGTGCTGCCTTATGTGGAATTCAGTTTTTAACCTGGTAGTAGTGTAAGCACATTAGGGTTACGATTCTGATGGGAGCCCAAAGAAAACCCTAAATTGATTCAAACAACCCATAAAGTTAGGGTCAGAATTTCCCACAAATCTATGACGTCTGCTCCCCAGCCTTCTCCCTTACTCTCTTTCCTTTGGATCATCGTAGAGGCAGTTTAAAAACTGCAACATCAATTTAAGACAATGTGACAACACTTGAAAATCAGTGATATATCCATACAACAGAATGTAGTTCAGTCATAGAGAGCAGTGAGGTACTGATACATGCTACAACATAGATGAACCTTGAAACATTGGAGTGGGTGAAAGAAGTCAGACACAACAGACCCCACATTATGTAAATCCATTGTTATGACATGGCCCAAATAGGGAAATCATAGACATAGACCATAGATTAGTGGTTGTTGGTAGATAATGAGGGTTAGGGGAAAATGGGGAGTGACTGCTAATGGATATGGAGTTTCTGTTTGGGATGATGAAAATTTTCTAATTATATAGTGGTGATGGTCGCACAACTCTGTAAATATACTAAAAACCACTAAACTGTACACTTTAAAGCAGGTGACTTGTATGACATGTGAATTATTTCTTAATAAAGCTTCTATTTAAAAAAACCAGTGGCATAGCTGCTCCATGCTTAGTGAACAACAAATGGGTGCCTTGAATGAATGAATGGGCCATTCACCCCTGTGCTCAAACAGCTCCACGCATTTAGTGAATTGTCCTGGGTGACAAGGGCAGATGCAGAATTCTAAGTTGTGGTATTTCCCTCACGGAACTTGAGAGAGAGGATTAAGAACAGTGAAATTCACTGTGAGAGTTCTTTGGTTGTTCATTGGCCCATTACCATCCTCATTAGTTCAAGTAGTATTGAGCTCCTATTGTATGTCACATACCATTCTTAGTTCCAGAAACAGAGCAGTGTGGAATCAGATAAAGGATGTCAGCTTTATAAAAGAGAAGCATTTTAAAAAAAAACAACAACTATTACTTAAAAAAAAAAGAAGAAAAGCTCAAGAAACCCAGAATAGCCAAAACAGCCTTGAAAAGAGGAACAAAGTTGGAGGACTTCTCAGTTTAAAAATTTACTACAAAGGGACACTAGGCAAGCCAGTGTGGTACTGGCATAAGGATAGATATGTGGATCAATGGGTCAGAAATGAGAGTTCAGTATGCCAATTATATCTCATTAAAACTGGAAAATAGGGAATCGAGAGTTCAGAAATAAACCTGTGCACTTATGGTCATTTTTGACAAGGTTGCCAAGACTATTCAATGAAGGAAAAACTATTTCCTTTCTAATGTTAGAAAATTTCATCATCCCCAAAAGAAACTGCGTACTCCATTTCAGCGAATGATGCTGGAATAGCTGGGTATCCACATGCAGAAGAGTGAAGTTGGACTCCTACCTCATACTGTATATGAAAATCAACCCAAAATGGATCAAATACTAAATGTAAGAATTTAAACTATAAAACTCTAAGAAGGAAACATAGGTGTGAGTCTGTGACTTCAGACTTAGCAATGGATTCTCAGACATGGCAGCAAAAGCACAAATAACTAAAGAATAAATAAATTGTACTTCATCAAAATGAAAAACTTCATGCTTTAAAAGTCGCCATCAAGAAAGTGAAAAGACGACCCACAGAAGGAGAGAAAGTGTTTCCAAGTGATGTATCTGATAGGAACTTTTACCTAGAACATAAAGAACTCTTACAACTCAGCACTCAACACAAATAACCCAAATTTTAAAATGAGCCAGGGATCTAATAGACATTTCTCCAAAGAAAGTATACAGAGGGCTGACAAGCACATGAAATAGTGTGCATTGTCATTAGTCATCAGAGAAATGCAAATCAAAGCTGAAAAGACAGAGAATAACAAGTACTGAGGACGTGAAAAAAATCAGAACTTCCTGTGTTACTGTTGCAAATGTAAAATACTGTAGCTGCTTTGGAAACAATGGCAGTGCCTCAAGAAGTTAAAATGGGTTACCGTTTGATAGAACAATTCTACTTCTATGTATATACCCAAGGGAAATAAGGTCCGCACAAAAAGTTGGGCACAAATATTCATTATTCATAATAGCCAAAAGGTGGAGACAACCCAAATGTCCATCAGCAGGCAAATGGGCAAATGAAAGAGTTATATCCACACAGTGGAATATTACTTGGCCACGAAGGAGTGAAGGTCAAATGCAGATCATGCTGCAACATGATGAATCTTCAAAATATTTTGCTAAGTGTAAGGAGCTGGTCACAAAATGCCACAAATTGTATGATTCCAGTTTGATGACATGTCCAGGATAGGCAAATCTATGGAGACATAGAGTAGATCAATGGTTGCTTAGGGCTGCAGGCAATGAGGGACTTGAGAGGCAGTGATATTAAAGGGTACAGGATTTCTTTCTGAGGTGATGAAACTGTTCTAAGACTGGTTTGTGGTAATGGTTGCGTAACTGAATATATTAAAAACCATTGAGTTGTATACTTTCAATGGGTGAACTGTATGGTGTGTGGATTATATCTCAACAACACTATTTCCAAAAAATAGAATAATAATATAAGATGCTTCCCTAGGAAAATGAGATGTTCCCTAGGAAGGGGAGTGAAATACACAAACAGACTTGTATTTACTGTGGTAGGACTGAGGGCTTACTAGACCGCCGGGGCTCAGGGTGGCAGGAGTGGCTGTCACCCTTGTATATTGGGAGAGGATGTCACGTCAGAAGTAAAATTAACAGAGTTTAACTGATTTTTTTTAGCATGTCTGGGGATAACTAATAAGAATATGGTAAGGAATGTCTGATGGTGGCTTAATGGTTTGGAATCCTGCCCAAGGCCACCTCCCTTTGTGCTATATGGTGTCTCACTGTACAGTCCTGTCCTCTTTCTCTGTCCTGCAAATCCACCCCAGCACATACTGGGCCTGAGAGATGTAACCATGTCAAGCTGGTTTACTCTCACGTGACCAAGAGGGACTTCTGTCAGAAACATCTCCCGGGTGGAAACAACACATGTATCCATCCGCAGATGAGTGGATAAACCAATGTGGCATATACATACAGTGGGATATCATTCAGCTGCCTGAGAGTGAAACACTGACACAGCTGCGGCATGGGTGAGCCTTTGAGGCTTTATGCAAGGTGAAATAAGCCATACACAAAAGGACAAATTCGCATCTTACTACGCTGATGGACAGTGACTGTAATGGGGGTTATGGAGGGACTTGGTGAAGGGGGGAACCTAGTAAACATAATGTTCCTCATGTAATTGTAGATTAATGATACCAAAAAAAAAAAAGGACAAATACTTTATGATTCCACTTACATGAAATATCTAGAATAGGCACATTCATAGAGACAGGAAGTGGAATGGTGGTTACCAGGGCCCAGGGGGAGGGGAAATAGGGAGTTATTGCTTAATTGTTATAGAACTTCTGTTTGGGATAATAGAACTGGAAATAGAGGTCATGGTCACACAACATTATGAATGTTCTTCAAGCCACTGAACTGTACACTTAGAAATGGTTACAATGGTAAATTTTATGTTACATATATTTTACTACAATTAAAAAAAGATCCCTTGGGGAGTAAGTGGAACTCTTCATAGTAGGTGTCTTGAGCTTACCTGGAAGCCACCCATGGTATGGGGTAGACCTCAGATATAGGGCTTTCTGAGTTGAAATCTTTTATTTTTAGTCTATGGCTAACAGTGCCATTTTTGAAAAAGGGTAAAGAATTAGAGAAAGATGAGTGGGGCTTTGTGCTTAATTCAGTACTCCATTCCCCCAAAGTGGAGAGCAGGGCTGCTTAAAGGTGGTTCCCCTAAGGCTGGGAAAGGGTTTCTTTTGCCTACTCTTCCAGACAGGGCAGTGTTTGGATGACTCCTGCTTTCTGGCCAAAAGCACAGTGGGAGGTGGGAGGAAGGTGGGCCAAAGCCGAGAAGTGGGCAAAGCATGGGGCCTTCTGGTAACACTTGAATCTGAAATGATCCCTGTTGTCCCCTTAAACAGAAAAGGGAGATTTCATTGCCCTGGATCTTGGCGGGTCTTTCTTTCGAATTCTGCGGGTGCAAGTGAATCATGAGAAAAACCAGAATGTTCACATGGAGTCTGAGATTTATGACACCCCGGAGAACATCGTGCAAGGCAGTGGAAGCCAGGTGGGTCCCTGCTCCCCTCCAGTCAGCCCCAGTGGCCTGGCATACCCAGTGGCCATAGGGTACCTCCAGGAACCAGTCCCCAAAGCTCTGGTGTCTTGAGCCCATGGAAGAAGTCCCTCATAGATGCGAGTGCAGAGGGACTCCTAGGTGGAAGGACGTGGCCGCCCGTGGAGGCCCCACTGTCTGGACAAACTGGTGGATGGGATGGGAGGGGCTGCTGGGGCTTGCACAGGGTGAAGAGGGAGGCCCAGCAGCTCTTTTGGGTAAATGCATTCATTCCCCAAGAATCCTGGGTGTTGGTTAACCAGCTCAGGTTTAGCAGGTGAGAATGCCCCTTCTTCCAAGTTACACGCCTCCTCACTAAAGGCCTAGACACCCTAGGGAGTGGCTGTCACCTTGTGAGGCCACAGGAATTTGAGTTCACAGCCCTAGGGCTAATCTGCACTACTGGATTTAATAGTCTCCTAGGAGTCCTTGGCACAGAAAGCAAAGAGGCGTTGCTTGGGAAATCACCATCCTCTCCTCTCACACTTGGTACCCGAGGCCCATCCCTTTGAGGATGACCCCTCCACCCCCCGAGGGCTGCCTGCCTTAGTGGGCTGAGGAGCTGAGGGCAAGCTCAGAAGGGCCTGTCTGCCCCTCTCCTGCCCATCTGCTTGTGGTGGGTGGTGGGCTCCTAGCTCACTGAGGACCCTGTGATCAGGGTGTAGACAGCCTCCCATCTGGTGTTCTGGGTTCCATCAACCCGTCGGGTGTGGGAGCTCCTCCTTGCCCTCTCCTGGAGATGTCCTGCTCCCCCAGTGTGTAGCTTGCCTGCTGCGTCATGGCTGCTGTCCAGGATACTGATTCAGAGCTCGCCAAATATTTGCTTTAGGGAGGGTGTGTTCATGGCAAGGTTCATGACTAAGTTCTCCAGGACACTCGTTTGTTCTGGGCTGGACTTCGAGATGAGACCCAGGAGCCTTCTCCTCTTGACTCCTCTTTGTTCCTAAATTAATGTGGGTTTGACCTGGAGCAAGCTGTCTGCCTTTTCTTTGTCTGAGAAAAGGGCTAATGCCAGCTTTTAACCTGCTTCCAGGGGTTTGGGTTCAGAGCTTTCAGACCATGTCACAGCGAGCATTGAAGGTGACACTGTCACTAGGAAAGATGAAACACTTCTCGGTCAGCCACTGAAACTGGTGCTTCACTCATTGAATGGCCCTGCCTGGAGGTTCCCCCACTTATGCCTCATTCCTGGGCTGCAGAAATCGTCCTGCTCATCAGCTGTTTGCAGCAAGGCTGCCGGCTGGTAGGTCTCATCCTGCCCCATGGACGCCGTGTTGCTCCTTTCTGCAGGTGGCCAGCAGCCTCTCGTTGGCATCATGCTCTTCCCATTTGGCAACCAGTACTGACCTGTCACTCTCTGTTCCCCAGGGTCCTTGGGTTGAGTCACCTTGTCTGCTGCTTTATCATCTGGACTCTCCCCCTGCACTGCGGGCATTCCTGTGGGCTTGGCCTGACCTTTTAGGGGCAGGGTTTATGGATGAAAGGGGAGCACACTTGCTACCTTCACTTCAACAGCAACTTTCTTCTTATTACTGCTGCCCCCAGGGCCTCCCTTCTCCATAACTCTGTCCTCATCTTCTCAGCCCAGGATCACTTTGTGTCCTGCTGTCTGTTTCTTCCCCTGCCCCTTTTAAGCAGTTTGCAAAGAGAAGATGGTGATGGGGATTATGTGGTATTATTACAACAAAAACTTACATAGTACTTGTATGTACGCAGCACTGATCTAAGTACTTTATATGGATTAATCATTTAATCACAACAACCACCCAATGGGGTAGGTGTTACTATCATTCCCATTTTATAGACGAGGAAATTGAGGCCCAGATCATAAGGAACCAGCCCCTTGAGTCACACAGCTCATAGGTGATAGAGCTGGGATTTGAACCCAGGCAGTCTGGCTTCAGATGTCACAGTTTTAGCAACATGGAATACTCTTAGACTGCTTTTTGTCTTTGTTTTATGTATGTATTTAAAGTTTTTTGACACTGAGGAAATGTGAAGGCTGTGGGCAAGGAAGAAGATCCAGGGGATGAAGCAAAGGATTGTTAATTGAAAAACAGGGGTGAAACAGGAACCTCCTTTCTTCCATAAGTTTTGTGTGAAGTTAAAATAAGTATTGGTGGCCCATTTTTCTGAGCTCTCTTACGGATCTACAGAGTGCTCTGATAAACCAAGGGCCCCATTTTGCACATGAAGCAACTCAGCCTCACAGACTATGAACGGTGCTAATTCTTAGAGTTGTGATTCTCATCTTCTGTGATGTGCAACAATTTTCAGTAGATTTTTAAACCTTGTATTTGAAATAATACTATGCTCACAGGAAGGTTTTAAGATAAACACAAACATTTCCTGCATATGCTCTTCCCCTGGATTCTCCGGTTGTTTTACTTGCTTTGTCCTTCTTTGGCTCTTTCCCTCCCCCTCTGCACACACACACACACACACACACACACATACATGCACACACAATATCCCAGAAGTTTCAATGCAGTTTTAAGCTTCAATAATTTTGGAAGCATAAATGCAATCTTGTTAAAGCATCATTTATTTAGTTTTGGGAATTTTGAATAATAAATGTTTAGGTATTTCTTGTAGTCATTGCCTGCCATTTTCAGTCAGAGAAACTGAGTCTCTGTGGTAGTGGTAGAGGATTTTAAAAATAAACGTGTTGGCAGGAAAAAAAATTCTTTAGGCTTTAAAATGTTGAGTTCAGAGGGGCTGGGTGACTTCCCCTCTCCCTGGTCACAGGCATTGGTTAGCCTGGGGGTAGCTTCCCTTCCAGAGCAGCTTCGTAGCCCTGGATTGGATTGTGGGCATTGCACAAACACGGTGTTTCATCCTCAACAAAGTACTTTGGGGTGGCTGTGTTTGGCTTGGACGTGGGGAACCAGTTACAGGTCCCCATCCATGCAAACTCACTTCCACAGCCTGAGCTCTCCCCGCCACTTCCTGCCGGCAGCCTGCCTTTTGCCGTCCAGCTCTCCTGAAGGCCACCAGGGAGCCTGCAGCTTCTGAGTGCCAATGATGTGGAGTGTGCAGATGGATTTAGTAATGGGTTTATCATCACTCAGAAATAGAGGTTGCGGGAAGCTTAGCCAGGCTTCTCTAGGGAAGGTGGTCATGTGTCCCCTCAGTCCGAGTCACCCGCTGCAGCCATAGCCTAGGTGGTAGTGACTCAGGGACAGAGGCTCCTAACTCAGAGCCGACAGGATCCCCTTTACCATGGCAGGAAAGTCAGGCTTTGGAGCTGAGTTAGCAGCATTCTGGGGAAAGATGGGGGTAGGGATATTGCCTTCCGGCCCCCTGTCCAGCATACCACTGCAGGCAAAGCCTTCAGGCAGATGGCCTCGCCTGGGCACGCAGGCTGCGGTGGCTTCCTGTGGCTGTGTGGTTTGGCCCTGCCAGCACTGCCTTCTGGGCCTCAAGAAGCTCCGTGGCTGTGTCAGTCCCAAGAGTAAGGGAGGTCTAGTGTCATGACAGCCGTATGAAAGAGACTGGAGTTACCTCGACTGTAGCATGGTTGCCCGAAGAGTATATACAGTTGGACTCAGAACAATGCAGGGGTTAGGAGTGCTGACCTCCCACACAGTCAGAAATCCATGTATAACTTTTGACTCCCCCAAAACTTAGCTACTAATAGCCTACTATTGACTGGAGTTTTACCAATAACATAAACAGTTGATCAACACATATTTTGTATGTTATATATATCATATGCTGTATTCTTATAGTAAAATAAGCTAGAGAGAATGTTTTTTTAAACTGTTGGAAACCTCCAAAAATTTTCCAATGAACTTATTTTAAAAATCCACATATAAGTGGACCTGTGCAGTTCAAACTCAGGTTGTTCATGAGTCATCTGTATATGCTTTGGTTACATTAGTAGAGCTAAGGAAAAGGTAGGTTCTTAATTCAGCTAAGCTCTTGTCTAGTTACAATTCATATGAAACATTATATCCAGTTCAAGGTATATTTTAGAGATGAGGGGGAGGAATTAGATCCAAAATAGAGGTGGCGAGATTTCCGCCATTGGTAGTGTTCACGCAGAGGCTAGGGGAAGTGTTCTGGGTTCTAGTGGACCATAAAGTACATGTCCCAGACAATATGTTGTGGAGCAGGCGAGCTTAAATTGCAACCCATGAAATAAATTGTGGTGTAGTCACACCATAGAATACTATGCAGAAGTGAGAACAAACAGTCTAGAAGGACGCACGACTGTGTGGATGACCCTCATATACACAGTATAGAGTGAAAGAAGGCAGACACCAAAGAGGGCACATTGTCATTCTATTTATACACAGTAGACAGACTGACGACACTAATCAAGAGTGTTAAAAGTCAGAGAGGCTGGCGATCGCCCTTGAGGGGTTGGTGGCAATGGTAGTGACTTCGGGGGGGCCCACCGGGTGTCTGGTGCTGATAACATTGTGTTTTGTGATCAGATCAGGTGCTGTTGACATGGGTGGGTGCAGCTTCTGTGAACCCAGTGACCTCTACACTTAGGATTGTGAGGTCTTTGGTGTGTGCATGCATATTGTACTTCAGTAAAAAAAGTGAAAATATGATTGTTTGAAGATTGTTAAATCACTCAGTGGGCTGAAGACTGTGGAACTGCTCATGGAACTTCTGAAATTGCAGAGAGAGAGGGAGACAGAGAGAGAGATATAGCAAAGGGGCCAGACAGCCCTCCCCAAAGGCCTCTGGAGACCCAGAGAGGCCTGTCTTAGGGAGGGATGAACTGATTCTCCATTATTTAAAAATTTCCTCAATACCCAGATAATACACCTTAATGTCCACTGAGGGGCCAGTTCTGTTTGCAGGGTTTGAAATGCTTCCTAAGCTGTGCTGGCCCAGAGGGCAGGCTCTTTTTGAGGGAGTCTTCTCTAGCGTTCACACCCAGCATGAATTTTCAAGCCCAGCAGCTGTGGGATGGGCAGCTGGGGTGGACCTGCTCCTTTCTGCATGTCTGGGAGGGAATCATTCACATTTTTCCCTAAAATGCCCAGTCGCCTTGTCCCTTCTGACTGCTCTCTTGTGCTTCCTCCAGCTTTTTGATCATGTTGCCGAGTGCCTGGGAGACTTCATGGAGAAAAAGAAAATCAAGGACAAGAAATTGCCTGTGGGATTCACATTTTCTTTCCCTTGTCGGCAATCCAAGATAGATGAGGTAAGGACATTCTGGAGTATCAAGCTGTACAGAAGCCCCAGAGTGGAAAAACTAACGAACCCTCTTCCTCACTGCTGCTCCCTTCTGCTTACAGGATGGCTTTGCATGTCTTTTTTTTGGAACATTTTTGGGAATTAATACAAGGACATGAAATTGTGTTTATTGTTCGATGACTTTAGTTATTTATATATTTTTGGAGCCAAAATCATGATATTTGTATCCATCAGGTAGAAAGAAGTGTTATTACTAAGCTCGTGCTCATGACTAGCCTGCTGGTCTGCAGGGTAGTAACATCAGGGCATGTGGCACCCCCCACACTTCTGGGTAGCATCCCTGTGCCTCTTTATCAGTAGGCTAAGTGCCCTCTCCTGAGCACCGCTTCATGTGCTGGAGCCCGTATACCTGTATGACTTGTGCAGCCATGTAAAGTTAGAGCAAGAAGGGGCTTGACAGCTCCCAGCAGGCCAAGGCCCTCATTCCACAGATGGACAGTGAGGCCTTCCAAGGTCAGAGAGCTTATTAATGGCAGTTCTAGGATCAGAATCCCAGGCTCCGCTTCCCACCCAGTAGGCCCCTACCTGCCCCACCCTACCTCCCTCCCCCGACACACACATGCATACACACAAGGGTCTCTGAGGTGCTCCATTCGGGAGGGCTGTGGCCAGTCCAGACCCTGTCTGCTATCTGCCATTGCTGCACCTCCAAGGTGTCAGATCACTTTGGCTTCCAGGGCTTCTCCCCAAACCTTTCACAAAGCCTGTTGTTGGTACTGTTTCTCTTGGCTTTTGAGAACCGAGACATGACAGTCACACTCCCTGGGCAGGGAAAGTGTGGGAGAGCCCATCCCACCAGGTGGGAGAGGGCCTGGGAATGACATGGCTGTGTTCGCTGTGCTCATTCATTTATTAGCGGCTGCTGACCGACCTCTGTCCCTGCACAGGCCAGGCTAGGCCCTGGGTGAGGACAGCCGTGAGCAGCCGTGCCTGCCCACTGAAAGGTGCAGCCTTCAGGAAGGCCTTGCCGAGGCAGGGAAGGAGTGTTCTCAGGAGCATCAGAGCCCAGCAGAGTGGAGCAGACGTGCCTGGCAGAGAGGCTTGCAGGCAGATAGGAGCCGAAGGCAGGGCCCCACCTTCAGGCCTTGACCCACATCTGGGGAGGGCTTCCTAGGTCTGGCCGTGCTACCTGTTGGGAAGCCAGTGGATTACAGGCCCTAATTACCCATCCAGGGAGCCTGTGACCACTCCTCAAGACTGCCTGGGAACTTCAAGATTATCTAAATATAGGTCAACTACCTTATTCCACAGATGAGCAAAGTGGCGTTAGGGGAACTGCCCGCAAGAGAATGGGCATAATCTTACGATTTCCAACCCCATGTTCTTTCTACAACACCATGTTCTCAGAGGTTTTGTGGTGGTGGTTGTGGGGGGGAGAGCCTGAGGGAAAGAAAACTGAGTATCCATGGGCTTTTGGAATGCTGGCTTAGCTGCAGGCTGCTGCTGAGCAAAGAACCCCACATTCTCCCAAGTGTTCTCCCTTCCTGGTGCACCTGGCAGGCTGTGTGGCTTTCACAGCTAGTGAGGAGGCTCCATGCAGACACGCTCCCTCCTCTCCCTGTGTCATCCCTGGAGGCCTGTGAGGTCTGGACAACAGCTCTTCCTGACCCTGCCACCTTTATAGTGACTTTCTCCATTCCATGGAAAATGGTCAAGTATAACAATTATTCTTCTTTTCTACTATCTTTGATTTTCAAGGAAAAAAATACAAAAACAATATGTAAAACTATGAAATAACATAAAGATGTAAGCAAAAAGTAAAATTCCTACCCTTCTACATTCCCAAGTGAAAACCATTGGATGTCTGTCCTTTTTGATGTTTCTCCATTAATATACAAACAGAAACGGGTCATGTTGTCTAAGTAGTGGACTTGCTGCTTACAAACGGAGGTAAAGTTCCAAAGTTTGGGAAGAGGCATAAATCATACATAGTCAATACCCTTAAATTTCTAGGACCTGACTTTTGAAGTTCAGTAGCCAAGAAGTATCTTAGCATTTTATTTCTCTCCCCAATTTGGCTCTAACTTTGTGTCCTTGGGGCAGTGGAAGCCGAGGTCTGGTTTGAAAGTAGGGAAGAACAATCAGGTAATAACAGGATTTCTCTTGTTCTCTATTTAAATGAAGTCTGGCAACGCAGCTGACATGCAGTCAGGTCTACATGCTCTGTGACACTGTGGTGCTGGCCAGCCTTTTGCTGTATTTCAGTGGGAGCTGCAGGTTTTTTCCCATGGTGGCTCCCAGGGAAATCTGTCATGTGGGTGGCTGAACAGGAAATGGGACAAAGTCTGGCTCTGTTACCCAGTGTGGTCTGGAGTGAGCAACTTGTCCCCTCTGGGCTTCTGCTTTGTCACTGCCCTTGAGCAGTCTCCCCAGGGACCTGGGGGTTCTGGAGGCCTCCCAGCCCTTGTCTGACTCCACTTGTTCTCTCCTTGGCAGGCCATCCTGATCACTTGGACAAAGAAATTTAAAGCAAGTGGAGTGGAGGGAGCAGATGTGGTGAAGCTGCTCAGCAAAGCCATCAAAAAGCGTGGGGTAACTTCTCCTGGGCCACCTGCCTGAGCCATTTGGAGGTGGGGGAGCGTGGGGAAAAAGGCTATGTTCTCAAACAGAGCAAGGTCCTTTCCGGGGGCAAAAGTACATAGCCTGAGGCATCACACGGGGCATCTTGAAGACCCCGGCAGGTGAATGGTGAGGTTCCACAGTCCAGAGGTCGGGTGGTTCCAAGTATAGCTGCCCAAAGGAGCCCAACCCAGAGGACAGCTGGGCTGTGCAGGAGAACGGCGTTGCCAGTGCAGCCTGCCATGGTAGAACAAGGGGCTCGTGGATGTAGTGGGGTGGTTTGCAGAGGGCTGTGGCTCTGTGAGTGAAACTCTGCAATCTTAAGCCAGATGCTTCAGGGGACTGTGCAGTTCCTGTAATTTAATCACCAGGCTCTGATCCAGTTCTCTGAGTGGCCGCAGTAATGAAAGCTGCACCACTAGCACCAGAGGTGCCGGGAAACAGGAGCTCTCCTGCCATGTTCTCTTTACTGCTGGTGATCTCTGTCCCCTCCTGCGAGTGGACAGTGACACCCTTTGTCCCTGCCCAGGACTATGACGCCAGCATTGTGGCTGTGGTGAATGACACAGTGGGGACCATGATGACATGTGCATATGACGACCAACAGTGTGAAGTTGGCCTCATCATTGGTAACGTGCCCCCCACCCCAGTGGCCAGTCCAGACCCTGTCTGCTATCTGCCATTGCTGCACCTCCAAGGTGTCAGATCACTTTGGCTTCCAGGGCTTCTCCCCAAACCTTTCACAAAGCCTGTTGTTGGTACTGTTTCTCTTGGCTTTTGAGAACCGAGACATGACAGTCACACTCCCTGGGCAGGGAAAGTGTGGGAGAGCCCATCCCACCAGGTGGGAGAGGGCCTGGGAATGATATGGCTGTGTTCGCTGTGCTCATTCATTTATTAGCGGCTGCTGACCGACCTCTGTCCCTGCACAGGCCAGGCTAGGCCCTGGGTGAGGACAGCCGTGAGCAGCCGTGCCTGCCCACTGAAAGGTGCAGCCTTCAGGAAGGCCTTGCCGAGGCAGGGAAGGAGTGTTCTCAGGAGCATCAGAGCCCAGCAGAGTGGAGCAGACGTGCCTGGCAGAGAGGCTTGCAGGCAGATAGGAGCCGAAGGCAGGGCCCCACCTTCAGGCCTTGACCCACATCTGGGGAGGGCTTCCTAGGTCTGGCCGTGCTACCTGTTGGGAAGCCAGTGGATTACAGGCCCTAATTACCCATCCAGGGAGCCTGTGACCACTCCTCAAGACTGCCTGGGAACTTCAAGATTATCTAAATATAGGTCAACTACCTTATTCCACAGATGAGCAAAGTGGCGTTAGGGGAACTGCCCGCAAGAGAATGGGCATAATCTTACGATTTCCAACCCCATGTTCTTTCTACAACACCATGTTCTCAGAGGTTTTGTGGTGGTGGTTGTGGGGGGGAGAGCCTGAGGGAAAGAAAACTGAGTATCCATGGGCTTTTGGAATGCTGGCTTAGCTGCAGGCTGCTGCTGAGCAAAGAACCCCACATTCTCCCAAGTGTTCTCCCTTCCTGGTGCACCTGGCAGGCTGTGTGGCTTTCACAGCTAGTGAGGAGGCTCCATGCAGACACGCTCCCTCCTCTCCCTGTGTCATCCCTGGAGGCCTGTGAGGTCTGGACAACAGCTCTTCCTGACCCTGCCACCTTTATAGTGACTTTCTCCATTCCATGGAAAATGGTCAAGTATAACAATTATTCTTCTTTTCTACTATCTTTGATTTTCAAGGAAAAAAATACAAAAACAATATGTAAAACTATGAAATAAAATAAAGATGTAAGCAAAAAGTAAAATTCCTACCCTTCTACATTCCCAAGTGAAAACCATTGGATGTCTGTCCTTTTTGATGTTTCTCCATTAATATACAAACAGAAACGGGTCATGTTGTCTAAGTAGTGGACTTGCTGCTTACAAATGGAGGTAAAGTTCCAAAGTTTGGGAAGAGGCATAAATCATACATAGTCAATACCCTTAAATTTCTAGGACCTGACTTTTGAAGTTCAGTAGCCAAGAAGTATCTTAGCATTTTATTTCTCTCCCCAATTTGGCTCTAACTTTGTGTCCTTGGGGCAGTGGAAGCCGAGGTCTGGTTTGAAAGTAGGGAAGAACAATCAGGTAATAACAGGATTTCTCTTGTTCTCTATTTAAATGAAGTCTGGCAACGCAGCTGACATGCAGTCAGGTCTACATGCTCTGTGACACTGTGGTGCTGGCCAGCCTTTTGCTGTATTTCAGTGGGAGCTGCAGGTTTTTTCCCATGGTGGCTCCCAGGGAAATCTGTCATGTGGGTGGCTGAACAGGAAATGGGACAAAGTCTGGCTCTGTTACCCAGTGTGGTCTGGAGTGAGCAACTTGTCCCCTCTGGGCTTCTGCTTTGTCACTGCCCTTGAGCAGTCTCCCCAGGGACCTGGGGGTTCTGGAGGCCTCCCAGCCCTTGTCTGACTCCACTTGTTCTCTCCTTGGCAGGCCATCCTGATCACTTGGACAAAGAAATTTAAAGCAAGTGGAGTGGAGGGAGCAGATGTGGTGAAGCTGCTCAGCAAAGCCATCAAAAAGCGTGGGGTAACTTCTCCTGGGCCACCTGCCTGAGCCATTTGGAGGTGGGGGAGCGTGGGGAAAAAGGCTATGTTCTCAAACAGAGCAAGGTCCTTTCCGGGGGCAAAAGTACATAGCCTGAGGCATCACACGGGGCATCTTGAAGACCCCGGCAGGTGAATGGTGAGGTTCCACAGTCCAGAGGTCGGGTGGTTCCAAGTATAGCTGCCCAAAGGAGCCCAACCCAGAGGACAGCTGGGCTGTGCAGGAGAACGGCGTTGCCAGTGCAGCCTGCCATGGTAGAACAAGGGGCTCGTGGATGTAGTGGGGTGGTTTGCAGAGGGCTGTGGCTCTGTGAGTGAAACTCTGCAATCTTAAGCCAGATGCTTCAGGGGACTGTGCAGTTCCTGTAATTTAATCACCAGGCTCTGATCCAGTTCTCTGAGTGGCCGCAGTAATGAAAGCTGCACCACTAGCACCAGAGGTGCCGGGAAACAGGAGCTCTCCTGCCATGTTCTCTTTACTGCTGGTGATCTCTGTCCCCTCCTGCGAGTGGACAGTGACACCCTTTGTCCCTGCCCAGGACTATGACGCCAGCATTGTGGCTGTGGTGAATGACACAGTGGGGACCATGATGACATGTGCATATGACGACCAACAGTGTGAAGTTGGCCTCATCATTGGTAACGTGCCCCCCACCCCATCCTTGTCCCTTCCTTCAGCTGGTGTTTCTATAAGGCACTGCGTCCTCCTGCATGGTTTTATGTGGCCACAGCTTCTGATCTGTCTCTTCAAGGCACTGGCACGAATGCTTGCTATATGGAGGAACTGAGATACATAGACCTGGTGGAGGGCGACGAGGGGAGGATGTGCATCAACACGGAGTGGGGGGCCTTTGGGGACGATGGAGCCCTGGAAGACATCCGCACCGAGTTCGACCGGGAGATAGACCGGGGGTCTCTCAACCCCGGAAAACAGCTGTGAGTCCCTTTTCTTCCTTTTCACTTAACATTTTCTTGCTCATTGCATATATGACTTAGGGGACACTTAATGAAAGGTTTGGGCTGGGAGATGAAAGGGGCAGAAAGCCAGGTGATCACAGACGAGCAAGCCCATCAAGTCTGCATTACCCGTCACTCCTTCTCTGGATAGGTACACACCTGCGGCTTCTACAGCTGTAGAAGCACATTTGCAATGATTGCTCTTGTTTAATGACATGATGGCTGTGTCTTTGTGAAAACTTGGAAACTAAATGCATAGAAGCATTAGTATAAAGCTAAGGTTTAAAAACATTTCCATATGTTGTAGTCACCAGTGTTGCCTCTCAGGGTGAGAGAGGCCATGTGGTCCGTGGGGCATCTGCAGAGCAAGGGAGAGTGTGTCTGTTCACTCAGCACATGTTTCCTGTGCACCTACTACATGCCAGCTCTGTGCTAGGCTCTGAGGATACAAAGCAGCATCTTCGCTTCAAAGATTTAAGATGTATTTGGTGAGGTAAGTCACACATGCGAAGGAGTAGGTGAGAGAACCATATGAGTCATACAGATTTTAGGGAGATGGGAGAATGAAGAAACTTCTTCTATTAGTGTACAGACAGATGGGTCAGAGTTGATAAAGAACATCAGGTTTATTGGGCAAGTTGTTTGGGCTTTGGAGAGGTCGTGGCTGTGGAAGTATGAGTAGCATTGTGCAGGGCAGTGTGGGTGTTGCCTCATTGGAGCTACTTACTTCCTGAAGCACATTCTCAGGTTCCTCTGTGATGTTAGCATGCTGCTAGCTCTCTCATCGGCCTCCCAGTAGCCTTATCCGGGAACTGGACCGCATCAGCGTGCTGAGAGACGTTCACTGACCCTGTTGGCTTAACAGCCCTTATCCTATGCCAGAGAGAAACGGGAGCATTTTGAAACCTGTCATCCAAAAGATCTAGATATCCCAGGCTGAACAATTGGGCTATCCACCTGAATTAATGGAATTGCATTACTGGCCTGTGCCCCTCCACTGGGGTGGTGGTAGTCAATGGACTAGGTTTCTCAGTGAGAGAGTCCCAAGTTCTTAGAACTAGACTTGAATATCTACTTTGCTTCCTACAACTAGGGCAGCAGCTTGGTGAGTAAGGGCCCCAGTGCCAAAGCACTGACAGCCAAAGGGTTTTCCCCTCCCCAGTCCATTGACCTAACTTCTAATTTTAAAGTCTGGTCCCAGCTGGCATGAGGCTATTTCACAAGCCTGTTTATATGTTTCATGGGAGATCTGTGGATGTGCTTGATTACAGAGCTCCCTGAGGCACCTCAGGAAGTGTTCTGTAATATGTAGCATAGGCACCATAGTGCATCTCTGAAATCCTCAGATCTCCACATTCCCAAGCATATATGACCCCAAGGGTTTCAGATAAGAGATTGTGTGCTTGTAGTTACTATCAATCACTTAATCAGAAGTTGCCCTTCTCAGCAGAGCAGGTGGTGCAGTTACTTGTGGTAAGAGAGCAGTATGGCCTAGGTGTCTGTATCCTTAGCCCCAGTGTGAAAACCCTGTGCCAGTTCGGTGAAAACCTAGATTTCTCTGACATCCATTTTGACATATTTCTGAATTTTTCAGAAGGGCTGACCTGTATCCCCAGGCTGAACTGTGAACTGGGCTCACAGTTAGTTTGCAATAAACATTTTTGGAATGGAATGAGGGATGGATATGTGGATAGTTGGATGGGGGGTTATGGGAATGGGAGGTAGATGTAGGATGGGTGGTGGATGGGAGGTGGGAAGTGGCTGGGTGGAAAAACAGGTGACTGAACGATAGCATAAAATGGTGGGGTGAAGCCCATCTTCTCCAGTAGGCTTCCCTGCTTACTGATCACCATAGGTCAGGTCTTGTGAACAATGCCAAAGAGATGACAAATTCTTGAATTGCGTCACATATTCCTGGAAATAGGCAACTGGTCAGAGAGTTTTTTGCCAAAGCAAATTTTTGCTCTTCTCCCAGGCCTGAGTTTTTGGGTCTTCGCTTTGTCTTCTGTGCAGTGCCATGTTCTTCAAAGCCATTTTATCCTCACTGTGCCAGGGAAAGGTGTTTGTTAATTTAATTGATGAAGAAATGAATCCACTGCGACAATTTGATAGAACAAAAGTGGCCCAAGACTGTTGATGTTTAATCTGGCTTAAGGTTGGGGTTTTCTGCCCTGTTGAAAGTTTGAGTTTTTCAGCGTGAGCTTTCAAAAAGTGTCTTCAAGAGGTATCCAATCATTTATGGACAAAAATCACCAGGGATGTTCTGGAGGAGTGGCTTTTCATTCCTGACTGCACACTGGAATTACATGGGGGCCTTTAAAAACTATCCTGCTGCGCAGGCGTCCCTCACCCACCCTCCTCCCTTCCCAGGCCTGATTCAGTTGGCCCGGGCTGGGACCTGGCCTCAGGAGCCTAAAAGCTTCCCAACTGATTACACTTTTTAACCAGGCCTGAAAACATAGGTGTATTAGATTTGTGCAAAGCCTCTTGGTGCCCAGGTGGGCGCTAGACCACCACACCTCCATTCATTCATTTTGATTGAGGCTTATGTTTACAGAGTTTACAGGCTGTGTGGGCACCTCCACTGGGAGTGGAGGGTATTTCCTTATCTGTGATATGGAGGTAATGATAGTGTCTGCCTCATAGGGTGGCAGTGAGGATGAAATAAGTTAATACATGTGAAGCACTTAGTTAACTGTGAGACACCTAACAGGGCCATAGCTCATTACTAGCCAGACACTGCAGCCCTTTACTTGTATTAACCCATGTCCTCCATACAGCAGCCTTGTAAGTAGGGCTGTGCCATCATCCTGATTATCTAGGCGGGGAAACCAAGGCCCAGAGAGCTGAGTAGCACAGCCACTGCAGAGCCAGGGCTATGCCCAGGCAGTCCAGCTCCTGCCTATTCTGAGATTCCAGCTCAGGGCTGCACAGAGCCTGTTCCCACAGGTGCTTGGGGCAGCACCTGGGCAGCTAGGACGCAGAAAGGTACTCTTCTGCCAGGGATCCTCAACACAGCCATGGCTGGAGTGGTTCTGTCTGGTCCTGTCAGGAGCGGGAACAATGAGAACTGTGTTTCTCTGTGCCCTGTGTTGAAGAGGGAGGGCTGGGTGCTCAGGTCCCAGCAGCATCCCTGGCTCCTAGGCCCAGCTCTGAATGGACAGACCGTTTTGCTCTGTTGTCACAGCAGCCTCCGAGGAGAGGCTGGCCACTGGATGTGGGCCTACCACTTTGGTCTGTCCTGCTCAGGGCTTCCTCTTGGCCCCTGCTCAGCCAGGATTGGGCCTAAGTCTGGCTTAGCTATTGCATCAAGCCCCAGTTTGCAGGCCTCTGCCCTGCAGCGCTGGGCTCACCATGGCTGCGGCAGTGCACACCACATCTCCCAGGGGAGGTGAGAGAGCAGATCCACTCCCTGATTGAGCAGTGGCTGGATGTGACCAGAGCAGTGGGATGAGCCGATTGGCTTTTAGCTGCTTAGAGCCCTCCCACGGAGTTTAGTGTCAGCCCAGTGCTTTCCAGCCCTAAAGCAAGTTTTCGGTCCTTTTGGCTAGAGGAGAGCATGGCTGTCAGGGAGGTGGCCAGTGACAGGTCTCCTGGGGAATGGCTGCATCTCAGCCCCGTCATCTACTCAACCTTCCCTCGGAGAAGGCATTTACCTTTTCTTAGCTGGGAAATGGAGAGACTACTTCTGGGCCACCCCCAACTCACAGGGCTTGGGGATCACCCTGCGAGCATGATGGAGATGAAGGCACTAAAAAGTATAGTGTATAGTATTGTAGATTATCATATTCTGCTTATTTCTATCTGGGGGCCTTCTTGTCATCCCCAATCTAAATCCTAACATTTTCCCTGCCCTGGGGCAGCGTTCCCTGCCTGCCCCTGACCCTGTCCCATGATGCTCACCTCCTGTTGCCCACCCTGGGGGTCTGGATGACACCTACCCCCTCTTCACCCAACCCCTTGCTATCTCATCATCATCGAACCAAACAAGTGCATGGTGTTTCCTGCCAGTGAGACTGAGCTTGTGGGGGAGAGGGGGTAACTTCCCTTCCTGTGTGTCTGCTCCAATCCTTGTGAGCTGCCCAGAGGTGGGCATGTAAGAAGGAACTGACCAGTGCCTGGGCACTTTTCTCCTGCAGGTTTGAGAAGATGGTCAGTGGCATGTACCTGGGGGAGCTGGTTCGACTGATCCTGGTCAAGATGGCCAAGGAAGGCCTCTTATTTGAAGGGCGGATCACCCCAGAGCTACTCACGAGAGGAAAGTTTAACACCAGTGATGTGTCAGCCATTGAAAAGTAGGTGCTGCCCCTTGAGGCTTTCTGGGGGTGGGGCAGAGCAGAGCAATGGGTCCCTCGTTACCATGTGAGTCCTGGTCGGGTGGGCTCGTCCCTCAGGAGTGTCAGGCCTTTCTGAGTCAGTCTTCCCTCTCTCACTGACCCAACCTGCACTGGTCTCCCTGCAGGTACCTGGTGGCAGCGCATTAAAGAACATTTTAGTTCGCAGCAAATACTTCCTGGATGATTTATTACAAAAGCAGCCTCTTCTCCTTCACACCCCCTGCAACCCAACACACACACAGGGTGAGATTAGAGGCCAGGAAGCAGATGATCCTAGTGGGGAACAAGGAACTGACTGAGCCTGGGGCCTGGGCCTGGAAACTCCCCCTTGGGATTTCAGGACCTTCTCTGGACTGTGTTCCTGGGAACCTTAATGACCTTGAGATAATTAGGTGTTCTCTGAAGAAAGGGTTCTGTGGCCAGTAGGATTGGGAAATACTACATATTTATCCTCCATTTAGAGATTGAAGTATTCATTATTATGTTAAGGAAAACCCAGTTCACTCTACTTAACACATCATTTCCCAAACTTTTTGTGCCTGAATCACCCTTCCCACTGCCCTTTACCCCCACACACAGAAAATTAACACCTGCTAACAGTCAGAAGAAGTGTTCCCTGGCGTAACCAGTGTTGAGACACACTGGTTAACAGATGAGACAGGGCAGATAGATATAGAAGGACAGAGTCCAGCCAGCAGCCTTTTAGCCTCAACTTAAGAAACACAGACTTCTCTGCTTTGACTGTTATTTGTGGTCCCTCACCCTGAGAGGGAAGGTGAACATGATTCTATTGGCAGTGTGACATAGTTGGGTGCCTCCAATTCTAAGGGACTCCTGTCTTGTGACTGGCTTCCATGTGCCACCAGGTTCTCTAAAGATACAGCTAGCTTGCTGCTGGAAATGCCCTTTCAATCTCCGCATGAAGCAGTCATTCCCAGCACCCCTGCTGTGGTCCTGGAAATGCAGATAATGCAGGGGCTCCATAGCTCTGGCTCCTGGGAGAAGATGCGCATTAGCTGTCTTTGTGGTTAGAGAAGGAGGCTGACAGAAGTGGAAAGGAGTTGCCTGGACTTAACACTTCTGTCACATCCACATGCTGGCATTTGTCCTATGATCATGCTCCTTTGGGAGCGGTCGGGGCAGTCACAGAAGCAGGGAGCCACACTACTGAGTTACTGACCGTCTCTCTTCTCAAGCCTCCTGCTCAGCTGCTGGGAGAAGAGGAACAGGAGGCTCACAGCTTGTCTTCAAAGTCATTGACAAAGTCAGGAAATGCCTGCCTTCCTCCTGGTTTGTTCCTGAGTTGTCTGTTGGTTTACCGAGAAAGAAAAATCCTCCTGAACTACATCTAATAAAGCCTATCTCAGAAAAATCTGAACATCCTACTGGGGCAGATGTTGGAAACATTATCATTAAGATTAGAAGCAAGGCAGTATCACCCATTTCTATTAAACATTATCCTGGAGTTTTGGCCAGTGCTTAAAAGAAAAAGGAAAAGGAAATTAGAGACATAAGAATCAAAATAAGAGGAAGTAAAAACTGTCATTATTTGCAGATGGTAATTGGATAGAACACCAAAAAATGTCTAGACAAATGAATAGAGTAATGAGAGGTTAGAAGTTGTCTGGAGAAAAGATACAGAAGTCAGCTGTATTGCTGTGTATTGACAATTAAAATATCTACATATTTTTAAAATAAACCTTTTATTTTTAGGATATTTCTAGATTTGTGGGAAAATTGCAAAGATAGCACAGGGTTCCCACATATCCTTGACCCAATTTCCCCTATTATTAACATCTTACATGATTACTTAGGCACATGAAGAGAAAAAAATACAAGAAAAAAATGTGTTTCTTTTTCCTAAGGACACCATCTATAATAGTAACAAAACTATAAAGTACCTTGGAATGAATCCAACAAAAGATACAGAAAACACTTAAGCAGAAAATTAAAATTTGACTAGAAAACATCAA